CGTGTCCAGGTCGCCCAGGCGGATGTCTAACACGAAGATGTAGAGGATCTTCCGTTCGAGACGCTTGCTTTCAGCTGTCCAGGTCGCCCAGGAGGATGTCTAGCATGAGGAGGTGTCGAGGTAGTCTCGAGCGAGATGCTTGTTTACACGTGCCCAGGTCGCCCAGACGGATGTCTAACATGAAGATGTGTTGAGGATGTCTCGAGAGACCCGCTTGTTTTCACGCGTCCAGGTCGCCCAGGCGGATGTCTAGCATGAGGTGGTGATGAGAACGTCTCGAGCGAGACGCTTAGTTTCACGCGTCCAGGTCGCCCAGGCGATGTCTGACATGAGGATTTGGGCAGGATGTCTCGAGCGAAATGATGTCTCGAGCGAAAGGCTTGTTTTCACGCGTCTAGGTTGCACAGGCAGATGTCTAGCATCAGGAGGTGATAAGAACGTCTCGAGTGAGACGCTTGGTTTTCACGTGCCCAGGTCGCCCAGGCGGATGTCTAACATGGGGATGAGTTGAGGGTGTCTTGAGCGAAACGCTTGTCGCAGTAGAGTGCATCGCAGTCCAACCCTGCCCGTCCGTGGGGCGTCCCCTGGCGCGCTGGCCCGTCCCCTCGCGCGTCCCTTGCGACGTTCTGGCGTGACGTGCTCTGGCACGTTCCCTAGCACGCCACTCGGCGTGGCACGTTCCCTGGCTCGTCCTCTGTCGCGTTTCCTAGCTCGTCCCCAGGCGGTTCCCCTGCCCGTTCCGTGGCGCGCTCCTTGCAACGTCCCTTGGCATGACGTCCTTTGGCCGTCCCATGGCACGCGCCTTGGCACGTCCGTGGCAGGTCCTTGACACGTTTAGGGCACGACGCCTGATACGTCCCCTGACACGCCCCCTGGCGCATCCCCTAGTGCGCCCCTGGCACATCCTGTGGCGCGCCCGTGCGCCTGTGCCCCGTGTCGTGTCTTTCCTTTGCGGAGCTGAGTCGGATTTTCAGGCCGAGTTGATGGAACGTCCCGCACGTTTCCACTTCAACTAGCTCTGAGGCAGCTGCCATGTGCTCAGGCAGCTCGAGCTTAAGATCCAGATCAGTTCGGTCAGGACTCGGATGCAAAGGAGGACTCGATCCACAACGCTATTGAGCACAATCGCGGCATGGCACATCGCAATTCAGCACGGCGCAGCACAGCACAGCCCTTGGCACAACCCTCAGCATTGCCATTGCCCGTCGCCCAATCAGGTGTCTTGAAAACGTTGCCATGCCTCACATGTCTATGTTTCTTTCCAGGCTCGTGGGTCGATCATGTTCTTCCTCAGCCCCAGACTTGTCGGCGAAAAATGAAACCTCTCAGAAAAAGAGGAGAACCTTGGGTTATACCCCCAGGGCGCTATTCGGACGCACCCCTATCGAGGGTGGACGCCACCCCATGTTATATGCCAAGGTTGGGCCCCAAGTTTTGGGTCCAGTCGGAAAATCCCCCAAAGCCTGTAAGACTGGGAAGTGAGAGGGGTCCCGGGGTGTGTCGGCCCCGGGGCCCGCCAAGCTCGGGACGAGGAGCAAGTCCGCTTGGGAGAGCATCGGGACCCTGGGCCTGCTCCCAGATACCCGACGACCTGTTCTTGTCCATGCGGGGCCCCAGAAGTTGCGACTGCTCCCCCCGCCTCCACTCGTTGTCAAAAAATCACGACGGGCGGCTTTTGACAGATTTCGGTCTCCAGGGGCCATCGCGGGGCTCCGGGACCATCAGACAACGATTCGCGGTGAAATGCCGGTCGGGGGGAATGGGCCGAGACTTCGGGGGATCAATCTTGCGAAACAAAGTCAGGACGTCGGGGGTTTGGGAAGTCCTGACCGCTTCTAGTAGTTTGTCGGACCTTGAGATTCGATGGCGCGAAAAGATTGCAACTTCGCGAAAAACCGCGAGCGGAGCTTTGGTTCCATCTTGCTGCGCCATTTTTCCAGCCCCGTCGACTTGTGAGGTCAGGTCAGACCCTGGCGCCATGATGTTTTGCATAACGTCGATCCTCAAAGGTCCCCACCCCTTTCCCCTGGACCAGTCTTTCATCATGAATCGTTTTTTGGACGATCCCGATGGCTGGTAAGGCACCCCAGTCGGACAGGGCCAGGACGAGGATCAATCCGTTTCAGAGCATTCCAGAACGCTCTCAGAGCGTTCCGAAACGCTCTCAGAGCGCCCGATACACCCTCCAGAGCCCTCGGATCTCAGAGATTCACGATGCACCCTCACCCGAGGAATCGATCCTCGTCCTGGCTCCGTCTTCCCCAGAGGCCGAAACATCGGAGCAGCCTCCCGTCGCGATCCTCTCCTTGCCCGGGGGGGTCCTGCGCCCGAGGCGCCCCCGCCCGCGGGCTGCAGCTGCTCGGCCGTGCTGCAGCTGCTCTCGCGCGGCGGGTGCCGGCAGCTGGCGCCGCTGCGGGCGGCGCGGGCGGGCCAGCTGGCCCGCTGCGCCGCCGCGCTGGCCCGGCTGGTGGCCGCGGAGCGCTCCCTGCGCTTCTTCGAG